GATCAAAATACCCTAGGCGTTTGTTATTGCGATTACTTCGCCGATTAAGCAGAGTTCTCTTCGTTTATCGTCGCACGTGTCGCTTAAATTGACATTAAGTATCGCGACGTTGTATCGTGCTTAAGTTCGAACAAGGCTACGTAGCGAAATGATATAGGGATCAAGTGATATAATCACGTGCTTCTCATTTCTGTATTAATGGAAGAGTATGCAATCTTTATTTCTCTTTCATTCTCTCTCTCTCTCTCTCTCAATACTTCTCTCTCTATTCGATTATCTATCTATCTCGTCTAGTTGATGAAATGAGAAATGTTGCAACGGGGCTGTTTTTCTCTTATCTACATCAAATCTTTGGCACTTTATGTTGGTCAAGCAATCTAAATCGTAAATGTTTCGGGGAAAAAAAGATATTTTTATGACAAACAAATGTCTTTACTGCTAAAGGATGGCGCTCACTACGGCTTACTCTTATCCGATAATCCGGGAATTCCAATCTATAGATATTCTTTTCTAGTTTATAAGTATTACACAAACTTTCTGTGTGTTTAAGAAAAAAAGGTAAAAACGATCAAGATATATTTTTATACCATTTATAGGGAAAAATATCTTTTTTTAGATATATTTTGATTTCTTTCACGTAGTCTTGCATTAATCCTCACTTTTTCCTTTCGCCATAGATCTGATTAAAACACTAACCATAGCAAGAGAGCACAAAGTGGAATTTGTGGAAACTACGTCAAACGGATCAAAATATATTTCAGAAGTAGGCTTTTCCCTAGAAATGTTATAAAAATATGAATCTTGCGTATTGCAATTACTTGTTTTCCATTGTTTTTACCTCTTCTTCTTAAACATTAAAAGCAGAAATTTACAGATTATACTTACAGATTATAAACCGATAAAATTTCTGAATTATCTGACGGGATGGACGTGGTGAGTGCACCCTCGGGCAATAAACTATTCTATAGCCAGTAAGAGATAATTTTTTTTTTTTTAGCATTCAAGGCTTCCACATATTAGTGTTATCGTGTACGTATGTACGCGTATACATTATCATTTCCTTCCAAAAATAGCCGGCAATATGATGCGTTCGGCAGTGAACTGAAAGATGTCAAATTTTAAAGTCGTTATCGCGTTAGAAATGCACGTATACACGACACGATTTCCCATCAAAGCGACGTTCACGAACGAATCGTTGCGGCGCTGATTCTTTTCCTCAGCAATGTTTCCGAATCCAGAATCCCCGCAACGCGTCAGTCTCGTCGATTTATTTACCGGGAATAAGCGACGACAAGCCCGTAAATCAATCACGCGCGACACACCGTACCAATTAATTCCGATCGCGCCCCGGTAACAAGTCTCGTGGAAAAAGTGTTAACCACTCACGTAGAAATCCCTATCTCTCTCTTCCTCTTTTCCTCACTCCCCCCCCCCC